TCCTAGGAGTTAAAAGTCGGATGACTGTCGGCTTTCACCCATGAGAGGGCTTATAACACCACTAGAAACCTAAAAGCCTGAAACCCTGAACCCCTGAACCCTAAACCCCAAACCCCTAAACCCCTAAACGCCTAAACCCGAAACACTAAACCCCTAAACCCCTAAACCCCAAAACCCGAAACCCTAAACCCCTAAACCCTAAACCCTAAACCCTAAGACTCATTGGCCGGCCTTTGTTCCCCACGGTGAAGATCACGAAGGGTGCCGGCCTCTGCTGCGTCAACTGAAGTCATATCCGGGCCTTCTTGAAAACAAAAAAAAGAGGTTTAGGGATATAGGGTTTAGGGTTGTGGGTTTCGGGTTCAGCAAAAAAAGAGGCCGTAAGAATTAGAATAGGGTTTTGGTGCACATTATACTATAATTACAACGAACCCCCAAAATAGTGTTTGTAGTTACTTCGGCCCCTACATTAGTTCGGGACGCAGGGGATGGGCTCTCATCCCGAAAGCCCCAAAACCCCGCGGTTTGGAAACCTGTCACGCCAACAGTGAAGCCTCAAATCGTTTAGGGTTTAGGGTTTAGGGCAAAGGCCGGCGAGCGGAGTGAAGCCCGTCTTACAGCACTTCCCTCTGAGAGCCCGACTGCGCGTCCTCCTCGCAGGATTGTCAGAGATTTGCGACAGCTGGGCTTGGAGTAGCCAAAGGGGTAGTTCTCTAAAGTAGGGTCCCCTTTAGGGTCCTTTCTTTAAGGGTGCCGTACGATGTTTGGGACCTAAAAACGGACCATAATTTAGAGAACTACGCCTTTGGTTCTCGGGCTTCGGGCTCCGAACTCTCTGCGCTTGTATTTGAGCTTTCGCAAGGACTGACGAAGCTTCGGCTCCAGTGCTTCTGCTGATCAGAGTCCCTGATAAGAAGGAACCCCCAAGAGACCCAAAACTCGGTTTAGGGTTTAGGGTTTAGGGTTGGCGAGGTTTGGTGAATTCTCCCAGACTTGTCGCAGCTTGCGCACAAATGTCAGCCCGTGCCGAATGACGTAGAACCTTCGGCCCGTCCCACGGCCGCGTTTACATTACATTTATGTGTCCCGAGCACTTAAAGCCAACATCATGTTGACACTCCACCCTCAAACCATATGGACGCCTGTTTTGGTACTTTATGTTATAAAAATCCCTTAAACAGAACCCTTATTATTAATCATAGACCTCTATCATGGTACCTTAAACCATATAAGTCCCCTAAACCCTAAGCCCTGAACCCTTACACCCTAAACCCTTACACCCTCAAACCTCGACCCCCGCAGCCTTGAACCATGAAGACCCAGACCCCACAACAGCTTCACAAGGCTTAAACCTTAAGTCCAGAAACTGAACCCCTCAACCCGAATCATGTTAGGGTTTAGGGTTTAGTCCTGCAGCGCGAATCCCCCCCACAGTCCCCTTGCCATGCCTTCGTATATCTGCAGCCTCAAACTCCAAACCCTCAACCCTAAACACAAAGCTCTGCAACGCAAACCTACCCTAAACCTCACCCTAAACCCTAAACATCACCCCTAAACCGTCAACCCCTCAGCTTAAAACCCCGCCTAAAGCCCAGGAATCCGACAACTCGGGGTTTAGGGTTTAGGGTTTGCCTACAACCCTCAAGCCGATTCAACCTCATAGCAGCTCAACAGTCCGCCTTAATGATTAGAAGGGTTTAGGGTTTAGGGGCCTTACACATTAGAATAGGGTTTTGGGGTATATTCTACTATAATTATAATCAGGAACCCTAACAGTAATGTTCGTAGTTATTTAAGTCCTTGTATTAAACTCAAAGCTCCAAACTCGAAAACATACCACTCCGAAAGCCAGAACCCAAAACCCAAAACCCTAGTCCCTAAACCCAGAACCAAAAACCCTAAAAACCCTAAAAACCCTAAAAACCCTAAAAACCCCAAAAACCAGAAAAACCCTAAAAAACCGAAACACCCGAAAAAACCCTAAAAACTTTCAACCCTTAAACCCTTAAACCCCAAACCCCAAGCCCTGCGGTCCTCCCTGAGCCAAGCACTGAACGGCCCGCAGTCGGAGTGCGCCTCCTTACCTGAGCTCTGGCCATGGGTTTAGGGCTTGGGGCTTAGGGCTTAGAGTTTAGGGTTTAGGGCTTGGGGTTTAGGGTTTAGAGTTTAAGGGTTAGGGCTTAGGGTTTAGGGTTTCGAGTTTAAGGGTTTGGGCTTGGGGTTTAGGGTTTAGAGTTTAAGG